ACATCCTGCCTGTGCCATGTGCAGAGGCAGGAGGCACAAGCAGCTTCCCCGCCCCATGCCAGGCCACAAGGGCACCAGGGCCATGGCCCGAGGAAATAGATGGGGTGGGATGGCGCCATGCCCCTGAGCAGCTAACAGCGCATTTGTGTCTGGGAGGGCACTGGGACCCTCACCAAAGTGTGGGGGGACTGCTCAGCCGGTGCACCCAAGTGGCCCGAGGCCTGTGGTCGGGCTGATGTAGCTGTGCTCCCGAGGGCTCCAGCAGGCACAGGGCAGAATCCAACCCTAATTAACTGTAATTTACAGCAACACAAATAATTGCACCTGGTTACTGTGACCATGGAGTTTTTCTGTTTTAAACGCGGGTTCGTGGTGCATTGTGCACGTGGAAGAAGGATCCCTGGCTCTTGCATCCAGAGTGCTTCCCAGAGCAGAGCTCCCAGCCCTGCACACCAGCCAGCAGGCGCTCGGCACCCTCGCAAGGTGGACCGTGCCCGGGGCCCTCTCACTGGCCGGTCCTGCAACCAGAGCATGGGAGCGACACACAGCCCCTGAAGTGCTGCATTCTCACAAGTCAGCGGGCTCAGCGCTGGGTCTGTGTCTAAGGGGCTGGAGGACGGAGACTCGCTGTCTAATGGGCTGTCTGGCCTGAAAGCTCAAGGAATGAATTTTACATCCAGGGATGTGAGAGACTAAGTGACTTGCCCAAGGTGACCTAGAAAGTAGGTAGCAGAGCAGAAATCTGAACCCAGGTCTTCTGAGTCCCAGGCTAGCACAGTAACCACTGGACAATGTGTGCTCTGATGCACACAGCTCTAAAGCCCTGTTCTTCTCCAAAGTGCCACAGAACATATTGTGGAGCCAGCAAAGAATTCAGCCCCTAACATGCACTCCTGGGGCAGGGCTATTGTATACACAGCCTCCAATGCAACTGTATAAGCTTCCTTAGAGAGGAGCTTGCCAGCCAGTAAGTGAGTTCCTAATGTAGTAGAGAAACACTGGACTCAGTGTTCAATTCCCTCACTAACAGCACGTGTCCTTCTCCGTCGGTGGCCGGTGCACACTAGGAGAGAATGTGGAGTATGCTAGCGAGCCCCACGCTGGCGCCATAGAGCAGACCAGCCAGGAGAATTTTGTCACAAGGTTTCTACACCTGTGTTAAAACTCCCAGCTCCACAGCACTGTCCCACTCACCTGATCGACTTCACTTGCATAAGGACGCCTGCCACTTAGAGTCAAGAGAGGAAAGCAAAATCCTTGCACAGGCCTGCAGGAGAGAAGAAAACAATCAGGCAAGAGTCTCTCCCCCAGCCCCTGGCTGGGAACCCTAGGTGAGGGCCACCACTGAGTTTTGCCCGTCCCTGCAGTGGAGGTAATTTGAGAACAGAGGCTTGGGTCGGCAACTCTCCTAGACCTATTTGTTTTTCCATTGTGTCAGGCATTTTTCTCAAAAGACCTTGATGCTGTTCCCAGTAGCTGAAGCTGCCAGGGTATTACTGAGCCTTTTAACCAGCTACTAAGCTACATGCCCAACATAGACTGGACATTCCAGTGTCTGAGGGTCTGACAGCAGCACCATGCAGAGCTCAAGCACAGAGAGCAGGTTTGGGGCCATGATTCCGCAGCCCAGTAAAACTCACTGGGCAGGACACAGTCCCTGATAGTCACCCTAAATTGCCCTTTATTCAGTTTTACCTCATCACCCTTCCTTGCAGCCCCCTCGCTAAACAACCTCTCCCCAGGCACCTGCACCAATCGGACACGCCTACGCAGGTCTCACAAGTAACTGTAACTCAGGCTGGAGGCTACAATCCCTCTGCCGGTCCACACGGAGGACCTGTGTGCCGGGCAGCAGCTCGCTCTCTTCGCTCCTCCTCAGGGTGACAACGATCCTAACGCACGGGCTGTCAGAACACCCAAATTCCTTCCCCGGCAGTCGCCTCTCCTTGAGCCTGTGCCCGCTTCCTTCTGCTTCCTTCACTCACAGCGACTGCTGCTCTCGCTCTGCCTGTGGCTCCCTGCGGCATTTCAGTTTCCCCTGAGCTGGGTCTCCTGAACTCTTTTCCCCAGGAGCAGCGGGCGCACCCTCGCGCGCTCTCGCTCAACGTCTTGCAAGCAGACTGTCCTCTGACGCCCTGGGCATCCCCACACACGGGGCGCCAGGCTGGCACGTTGCACGGGGCGTGAGGCAGGGAAGGGCTGTGAATCAGAGGGGAAGGTGGATGGGACTGAGACTGGCATGTTTGACTAACAGGGTTACTGGAGTTCACCTGCCGCCCCTCGTCTGCCCCAGCTACAGTGTCACAAGCCTCCTCTTGAAATAGCAGCAGCCAAGCGGGAAGAGACTGAATTGCTAGAGGTCAGGCATGGGTCTCAGGCTGGCTGAACAATCACTGAACCCAGGCCTGGCCAGGGCCTTCCATCCCCAGCTCGCCCTGGAGCGGGCTCCCGAGGTGCATGCACGAGCGGCATTTTTCAGCATCGCCGCCTTTGCTTTTTGCTGAAAATGCGCTGAGGGGTGGTTCTCCCTGCACTCCGGCCCCTCTCCTGGAGCTGGGCAGCATGGTCTGTGGGCAGCAGGGGGTCGCACAGCAGCCAGAGACTCTGGTGTTAACGCCTTGATGAGATCACAGCCCAGCCTTTCCTACCACAGCGACTGCAGCTCTGCCTCATGCCAGCGTGTGCAGGAAACAGACCTGTACTGTGAGCAAAGGGGGTCCCTCGCCCACTGGGCACTCCCTGGGCGCAGGTAGCACAGAGAGACGGGTGGGGGGGGCAGCTGCCCCCGGGCGCCATGCTAGGGGGGCACTGATTTAGTCCCCCTCCCTCCCCGTGTCATCCCTCAGCTCGTCTGCTCCTCCCCACCTCTCCACCCCCAGCCCGAGGGTTAGTGTGTGTGGGGGCCTGGCCCCAAATTGGAGGGGGCAGGGCAAGACGTGGTACAAGCTCCCTTCTGCCCCCAGGGTCAGGCTCAGCTGTGTGCCAGGGTCGGGGCCCTGCTGCGTGGTGGCAGCGGGGAGGGAGGGAAGGAGGGAGGGAGGCGCAAATTTTGCTGTTGCCCCCAGGCGCATAACACCCTCAGTAGCCTCCGTCTGCCCCCGGATGCTGTTTCTATTCGAAATCTCTGCTCCCGTTCTTCAGTCTTCACAGCATTTAACCTGCCACGCTGTCGCTGCCCACTGCCAAAGCTCCCCGAGGGCCTTAGGGTCCAGTCCCACGCTCGTCTCTCAGGCAACCCCCCCCCAAGCCCACGGGCCTCTGGCGCGACAAAGGCAGACTCAGCACCGCTGCAGCAAGCAAAGCCGGGGGAGTCTGCTGAGCAGAGAGCCCAGGGCTGGGCCGGGATGACTGCGACCGAGGGCCACAAGCGCAGAGCCCGCGAGCTGACACGGGCCTGATGCGGCCTCCACATCCCCGACACGCAGCAAAAGGAACCGAACGATTCCCTGCTGGTTCCTCCAAACCACAACGCTGGGAGCCTGGCGGCCTCTCCCCAGGCCTCACGGACTCAGGCAGGGCCGCCCCGGTTTGCTCCGCGGGGGCTGCAGGCTTCATGTTCTCTGGGAAGGAACCATGGGAGCCAGGGTTCATTCATTTTCCAGGCACGCTGCAAAGGGCTTCTTTTGTCCTGGGGAAGAGCTGGGAAGTGCGGCTCCGTCACCAGCAGCATCTGGCGCAGTGAAGATCTCCCCTCCCCCAGCGGCCTCGTTTTCCTTGGGCATTCAGGGCGAGAGCCAAGCCCGCGGCAGCCAGTGGCAAGACTCCTGGCTGGGGAGATGAGCTGAGCTGAGGGACAGCGGGGCACAGAGTTCGGGGGGGTTGACGGTGACAGGTCAGCATCATGCTGTCTGAATTAGGGATGTTAAAATGCATTGGACTGAGTGATCAGCGGTTACAGGCAGGGCAGGCGGCTCCTGCCTACCACCCTGCACTGCTGCCTCTGATACATGAGAGAGAGGCAGCAGTGCGGGGGGGCTGCGTGTAACCGTGCCCCTTAACATGGTTACACTGTCACATCCCTAATGGGAATGTGGATGAGGAGCTGGCTGCGTGGCCCGTCTCACGCCCTGAGTCTATTATTATCAAGAACCTTCTAATTGTCAAAACAGTAACAAGAGCAAGAGGAAGGTAAATCTAAATAATTCCATAAACGAACATGTGTGAGATCTGATACCAAGTCTTGTTATTTTAACTCGAGTTGCAAAGAAGATTTTTTGTATCACCTCAGTCCTTCTGCCAGAAGGAAATTCATGTAGGGCCCGATCCTGCAAACACTCTCTACTAAGCATTGTCCTGTTGGCCTCCAAGGGCTACTCTCGGCAGCGAGTGCTGCGCGGGTAAGAAATGCTAGCAAGAATTGGCTCTCCGAGTGAACAGTCACAGACATTTAAAATGAAATTCGGCCAGGCTAGAAACATCTGAGTTCATGATCCAACACCTGTCGCTATGTATGAAACCGTAACACTTCAGACAGCATTTGTGGGACACACGAGTTTAGACACCAACTCAATTTACAGTTTGATTCCTCCATTCAACGCCCTGCATTCCAGACCAAACCTGCTGTCTTAGCTCGAGCACAGCTCACACTGGGCTCATTTCTTCCAGAACAAGCCCTGTAACAAAATCCTTAAAAAACAACAATGGTCCTGTAGCATGCTAGAGACTAACGAGAAAATACATAGATAGTATCAAATGACATCTGAAGAAGTGGGTTGGGCCACGAAAGCTCCCGATACCACCTCTATATTTTTCGGTTAGTCTCTAAGGTGCCACAGGGCCATTGTCATTTTTAAGTTTTTTAGTTACAGACTAACACAGTTACCCCTCTGAGACTTATAAGCCCTATAAAGTAAGGGAAGTTACTCTGGATTTAGACCCGTCAAACTCACTCAGAACCTGGGTCTGACATCAGAGGGTGTTTTGTCTGAGCCAGGATTCTGCTTGCTTTTAAAGAGCAACAACTTCATTGCTTTGCCCAGCTTATCCTCATACACAATCCCCTCCATCCTTTATGAATTTCTCTGTTTTATTTAAAACAAAAGGAAAAACTATGTAGCACTTTAAATGTTTAATGGTCCCAGATCCTTAAATGCAAACCCTTAGCTAAGTTTTGGTTGTGGTCCCAACAGAGACAAATAACTAACCCCACTTAAATGAATTGGTCCCTTGCTGTGCGGGTTGTGCTACCCTTCACACCCGCTCACACCCCCAGGTTCCTTACCTGAGACCATTTCCTGCATCCCTGAAATTCAGAGTTTTCACAGAGAAAAGAGACAGGGGCCGGGATATCCTAGTAGCCAGCATCATTGCAATCCACAAACGGTACCAACAGCAAGCTTCTTCCCCTTTAGTTCTGAAACACAAGAAAGCACCTCTCCTTTATTTGCTCTGCAGTTATAGTTCTGCTGACGCCTAGTATTTTAACAACAAAATAAAGTCCAAAGTAGGCTCATCTTTCCCCTCCACTCCACACAGTGAGATAAATAGCTCAAGCAGCAGCTACCAGCTCAAACTCCTTTTTGAAAAAACAGAAAGGACTGAAGCAAACTAAAAAGCAATGGGCCATTTTACAAAAATCTCCATTTTAATTCATTTATTGCTTCTTAATCTCTGCATATTCTTACACATTTAGAAAAAAAATAATTAATTCTTCAAGTAACAGTTTTAAGTCAGCTGTTTGAAATACTGTACCATTCAACTGTAAATCCCACGCACCGAGCAAAGTGAAATCCTACATTTTCAAAGCATTCTCTGGGCTTTAATGTCAGTGGCAGCCTTGCTGCTAAAAAACGTGGGCAGCTCTTTGAAATGTAATGCCCCAAAAGGCTGGCACTAGAGAGCTAAGCTCAGGAAGTCACCGAAAAGGGAACTCTAACAAGGAAAAAGGCACAAAAGCAGGAATTAAGAACAAGGGGCCTTTCCATCCAATGGTGAATCAAGTTAGTATAAAACAAATCCAATCTAGATTTTCTCCTAAAACCTGAATCAAACTTTTTTTCTTTCAAGCTGGAAAATACTGGTTAATGTTGAAGTATTTGTGAGAAGAGAGAGAGAGGATTTTATTTTATGCTATTACTGCACTTCTAGGGTCTGTCTGGAAACACAGGCTGGCCACAAGTGAGAAAATACCATGAGAAGTGCTGTAGTGAGGGCCTTTACGGTTTGGCCATAAGGAGGAAATACGAAACTCTTCCAAGAAAGCCTGTTGCCATGAACGTCTGTGCTAGTCAGCGCTACTAACGCAGGCTTCGCCATTCCGAAAAGCATCTGAACTTGGCAGTTCTCGGCCGACGGCCCATGCCAAAGGCTCTGTTCTGCCCCATGCTCAGGCAAGGGGCTTGCTGCCTGGGCCGGGTGGGCTGCACATCAGAAGAAGGGAGAGGGCTGCCTGCTGTGGCCAGACAGTGGCACAAGGGTCAGCAGCACCACTAATGCGCTGTCTGGATTTTTTTTAACATTTTATGGCCATTCATAAAACTGGCATCTCTGGAGGCAGAGAGAATGATAACAAGGGAATTAACCCAGGCGTCAGGGTCTGAGCCTGTCGTGCAGAAGCATCTGAGCTCCAGGTACATCATTGCACAACTGCCAAAGTGCAGAGCAGATGCTGCAGCCCGGCAGGGCAGACTGGCTGTGTTGCGGGCGGCTGCATGGGAAGGGAAGGTGACTGGGGGGCTCTCTCCTCATTCGGGCTTACCCCTCGCACTGTCTCCACCCCTCCCCCCGGCTGGGAGAGCTGCCTTCTGCCCGCACTGTGCACTGCCCCGGGTAGCCAGAGCCAGGAGCTGAGCAGAGGGGCTGTGTGCTTAAACAGAGCACCCTGTCTCAGGGACAGCCAGCCACGTTCGGACGGACACATCCGAGGGAAGAAGGTTGCAGGGTATTCCCATGGGACTTGGGAGTACTGGGCACAGGGGTGGGGGTCTCACAGCTGAGTACCTCTTCCCTGACTTCTCATCCCCCTCTGCTCTGCCTGCTTGGTCCCTCCCTGCGACAGCTGCTCTTCCCCCCATCCTCACCCAGCCCATTGCACCTGCTCCCTGGCCCCATTGCACCTACTCTGCAGCCCAGCCCAGCCTCATCCTCTGTTCTACCTGCTAACCTTGCTTTGCTCCTGGTGAATCTGCTGGTCTCCTCTCCTCGCCCTTGCCCAGCCCTCTGCCCTTCCCCAGAGTGGCTCACGCCCCAGGCTCCCTGCCCAAGGGGCTGCTGTGCGAGCCTTGCCACCTCCCACACAGTTCGTGGAAGAGACCAGGCCAGTGAAACCTGCTTTGCAGCACGGCGTGCAGGAGCCATCGCAGCTAGACAGGCCAGGAAATGACGCCGCACCCTGTGAGACGCTCCAGCCCTGACAGCAGATGGGCCACTGGTCCCATGTGAGATCGGGGGCCCTCAGCTGGGAGAGGGGATCCCTGGGCTGGGGAGGAACTGGGTGGGCAGGTGAGGGTAATGAGCTCTGCCCGAGTCTCTCCTCTCCCTTCCCCCTCATTGCATTCCCCCATGACCTGTCTCCTCACAACCTCCTCAATCAGGGCCTGAACCCCTCACACTCCCGCCCGCCTTATCCCCCTCTGGAGCCCCACCCCCAGGACGGAGCTGCCAGCTCTGACCGAAGCTCTTCTGGGAGGTTTTCCCCACATGACACAATGTCAGTTCCTTAAAATACCCCGTTCACACCCCCAGGACTGCTCTCAATTGGAGCCGATTCCTGGAGCCCTTCCCCTGCTCCTCCTCCCACGCTCCCCCCAGGTGCTCTGAGGCTCTGCTTGTGTCGCTCCCTGCACCTTGGACGTGCTGCACTCTGGGGCTAGGGGAGCTGCACACGCACAAGCAGGAGCCCCCAGGAGAGGCGGAGGGGTGAGCCCAGGCCCCAGGCATGGAGGGTGAGCTGCCTTGGCGGATGGAGCTCCATGGTGAACGTCAGACCCTGGGGTTGGCAAGGGCACATCTAGGGTCACCAGATGTCCAGTCAAAAAGGGACCCTGGCAACTCCGGTCAGCACCAATGACCCGACCGTTAAATGTCCGCATGGGTCCCGGCAGCAGTGACATCCCTCTGGCTCCTAGGCGGAGTGATGGCCGTCGGGCTGCTGCACTGCCACACCTCATACACCAGCTGCACAGCTCCGACTGGCTGGGAGCTGCAGCCAATGGGAGCTGCAGGGGCGGTGGCGCCTGTGGGTGGAGGCAGCGTCTTTACGCAACACTTGGCATTTCCTTTGGCTAGCCAGGAGGATGCATTTCACCTGTCTACATACAGCTCAGCAATTACCTATCATCACATACTTGTCACGTTCCACCTCCTGCACCAGCAGAGCCAGGCTGGCCGAACACTCCTGCATGGCGGGCTCTTCCTGAGCCAATTTATGTCAGCTCTGTTCTGCTCCTGCAGCATGAAATGAACTTAGCAAGCTACAGTCCAGCACTGAGTCTGCTTGTGCCTTAGTGCAGATGCGCAGCCCCAGTGCAAAGCCCCAGGGCAGAGTCAGGCCAGATGGGACCATTACAATCACCTGGTCTGGCTTCCTGCATTGCACAGGCCAGCAGCCCTCCCACCATGATGCCGGCAGCAAGCCCGTAACAGCCAGCCAAGCTCGTCTAATGGAAACACGCCCAGTTTGGATTTAAAGACGCCTGGTGATGGAGAATCCACCTCAGCCCTAGGTAAGTTGTCCCAACAGTCAATAACCTTGGGATAAAAATGGGCACTTTGGTTCCAGTCTGAAGTCAAGTTCTGGCTGCAGCTTCCAGCCAGTGGATCTTGTTAGGATGAAAGAGCTTTTGCCCATCAGAAATCCCTTCCCCCGGTCAGTAGGTCAGACTGGGATCAAGTCCCATCTGAAGCTACTCTTGGAGATGGAGCTTCTTACCTGGCTCATAGGAGGTCAGTTTTCTAGAACTTGAACCATTTCTGTAGCTCTTTTCTGAACTCTTTTACTGTTTTTCAGTCTGGTTTCTGAGGTGTGGGCTGGACACAGTGCTCCAGCAATGATCGGGTCAGTGCTGCATGCAGCGGGAATAGCGGGGCACGTCCCTTCTCCTGCTTAGACACCCAGGATCACAGTAACTCTCTCGGGTAGCAGGCTTTTGCTCATTGGCTACCTGTCCTGACCCTTCCTCCTGGCTGGTGTCACTGAGTTCCAGGGCACTCTCTCATCCCCTGCCTGACCCTCATTCTCTGTTCCCAGGTGGATCCGGCTATATTAAAGCCCATGTTATCCCCCTGCAGCAGCCTTCAGCTTGTGGCTAGTCAGGGGAATTTACCGTTCCTGCCCAATGGAAGCAGCGGGGGGCATGCCTGCAGGCAATGTAAACAAAATGTCTGGCGGATTACCCTGCTGGCCATGTGCCAAAGATTTCTGACTCCCGCTATTCAAATAAGCCCACTCCACCAAGCAGTCCAGATCAGACTGCGCCACTGACCTGACCTCAGCAACGTTTGCCACTCCTCCCATTTCTGTCTACTAGCAGTGGTTCCTCCTGTTCTGCTAGGACAGGGATAACGACGGGAAGCGCGGCTGGGCAGCCCTCACACCGGTGTCAGATGTGGGGAATCCCACTCTGCCAGGGTGTATGCTGTCCCCGTGCAAAACTCCCTAATCGATGGATGGCAGCACAAAGGGCACGACAGCGTAGCAGTGCCTGGGAGATTTCCTGCAACAAAATCATTCACGTCCCTGGCGCTTCCCCTGAAGAAGCCCAGCAAACCGGGGCTCCCTCATACAGTGTTCAGACCAGGCTGCCCCGCAGGGCCGGAGTAAGACCTTCAGAGGCCCTAAGCACTGAAAAGATGGTGGTGCCCCCCCCCAGTAATTCAAAATAAAAACAATACTAGCCGTAAAATCTCGTTTTTTCAGTGCCCCTGCTTTGCTGGTGCCTAAGCACGTGCTTAGTCTGCCTATTGGGTAATCCAGCCCTGCCCCCTCGGCTCGTGAAGGAGACAGATCTACATTCCCTCCCAGCTTTGTCAGTGACCGGCTGCCTGACCTTGAGCAAAATGACACTTTCTGGGGAGTCACCCAACTACCCTACGTCACAGCGGCTTAGCGGGAAGCTTAATTAGTAAATATTAATAAAGATCCATGCAAGACAAATGCTAGGTGACAATAATCACCGTGCAGCTAATAAGGGTGAAAATGTTCAAAAATGTGTAAATATTCACAACCTAATCGTGGTCCCAGGCTCCGGCCCGAGACAGAGCCCATCCCTTCCAAGCATCCCATACTCAGGCAAATTAAACCGGCCCTCGGGGGCCATGCTCTGCTCCTCCTTCCTGCAACTATTTTCCATTGGGGAAAAAACGTCTCTTTGCATGAAGTCGCCCACGCCGGGGGTCGGTGTCTTGCCCTTACTGGCCCATCCACGGGCCGGATTCCCCGCCCTACAGCGGGTATTAACCAGGCTGCTGGGGGGAGCCG